GTTGGGGAATTCTGGGAGTTGAAGTCCACCCATCTTAAAGTTGCCAAGGTTGAGAAACACTACCATAGAAGCTAGAAAGAAAGCAAATGGTTTTATTCTATCAAGTTGGGCAAAGCAATTTTAATCTGGTCCATTGCAGACTCAACCTAGATTAGATAAATATGGCGATATCTAAGAGCACCTTTGATCCTTCTGCCACCTGTTTTTTGGGGAAGGGTTGAGGCGTAAAGTATGAATGACCAGCAGCAGGCTAATCATTGTACGGTGTTGGAAAGGGCTACAGCGATCAGATAGCCTTTTGTAGAGGGCCGCTAACAGGATTACATGTGAGCCAAAAGATTAATTCTTTCCACAAACTCCAGAAAATGGCAAATCCCTTCCTGTCCGGAAACTGGAAATGCCAAATTTGTGGAGGGCCGAAGAGGTAGACAAAAACACCTTGTTCTTACCAGCTGTCTGGTTCAGGTTTTGTTTTAATCCAAATAAATTCGCTCCACCCTACAAATCCATTCGCCATCCTCTTAATTAAGAGATTCAAGCACCATGAATGTCAACGCGCTTTGCAGTCTTTTTGGAATAAAAGCAAAGGAAAACCTCCCCGCCCTGCCTGCCTCCAGGGTTCACTGAATTGGTTCAAGAGAGAGAAATGTCAGCCAAGGGGCAGAGATGATGATTAGGGCTTCAGAGCCGACAGGAAAAAGGCAGAAACATTTGGCCACCGTACACATTACAAAACTGTAGCTCCCAGTCAAGCCAGACTGTTGGCCTTCTCATTTTACTTTTTTGAGCAGGGTTTTTGCCAGCAGATGGTTCTGGAAAACTTCCCCAGTTCTCTGAGTGGTGTGCATGCTATTCTCAAAACTCTCCAAAAATCTTACGTGTAGAGCTTCCAATAATTCACAAGGGAAAGAGGGATGTGTTTACAACATCCCCAAATTCGCCACAGGACCCCGTCTCTAGCTTTGCTCTGGAAAAAGAATCAAAAGTGGGCCAGACCAGAGAAAGGTTTGAGTTTCTGTGGTTGCATTCACAGAAAGCACTTAATTCTTGGTTACCAAATTAACGTAATTCCTGGGTTTGTACAATACACTGAATTATAGGCCGGCCAATCAGCCTGGATTTGCACCTCAGCTAAGCCTTGGTGTGAGTACTGTTTGGACCTGGTTAAGCCTGTTGTGGTCATCTTCCCGTAACAGACTGAGCTACTAACCCAATCAAATCTCCTTGCTGGTGGTTTCGGCAGCACACAATCACACTAACCAGGTCAAAACCAAACATTTTGGAGAAAATGCAGAGTCCTCACCCATGCATCCAGGAAATGGTGGAGTTCTTGCAGCAGGAATGTCATGGCAAAGCTTTGCAGGATCTCCAGCCCTTCCCATTGTCCAGGTGCAGGCAGAGGGCATGGCTTCCCTGCTGCACTGAGCCAGGATTTGAGAGGTGTGTTCTTGGTGACCATCTCAGTCCCATGTTCTGTAAGGTGGCTTTGGGAGCGCTTGTTCCATTCACCCTTTTTCTTGGGAAATGTAAGTGATCCCACAACACAAATGATTGGGTGGAGGTGGTTTGACTCTGGGCACTCCTGAGCCTTTTGCATTTGAAGATAACAACCTGGGATATAACTGACAGGATCAAACAAACCATATCTTGTGGCTGCGCTACGAGACGCTGATGCAGTGAAGTGTAAGGGAGGAACAGTCAGTGCAAAGAGGCTGTGAAGGTGGAAGGCCACGCAGGAGAGACAGTCATCTGAGAGAAGCCAAGCGAAGGTTGGATTCCAAAGGGGAGCCTCTTCGTTAGAGGAGAACCTGGAAGAGCAAGAGGGTTGCGCAACAGCCTTGACGTTCACTCCCCCCAAGAGCACCCGAGAGGGCCACGGCTAGACTCCGCTCTTATTCACCCCCCAGGTTCATGAACAAAATCCCAGAGAAACCCGTTTCCATGTCATTTTATTAATTGGCTTGTACAGTTCTGCAGCATCTTACAAAAATACTGTGAATTGGGTGGAGGGTAACAATTACAGCGTTGGTCACAGATGAGCTGACCATTCCCGCTGATGACTTGATGATGTTTTTTTTTCCTAGACGGAGGGGTTGAAAAGATTTCAGCAGTAAATGGCTTTCCCCCCACCCCGTCCAGCGCCACCTTGACCAGAGGTCACGTGGCATTACTCGTTCCTTCCTGTCAGTGACAATTTTGTAGGAAAAAAGGTAAGAAGTCTAAGGAGACCTGGCTATCACATGAGCATACGAGATAGAAATATGAGAAATAAAGATCTATATGGATTTTCCCTAAGAAATTGCCAGTAGTAGAAGGATATCAATACTTTTTAAAATTTAATGGAAGATCTGGGGGAGAAAAAAAACCAAAACAAATCTCCTGTTACTTAGATTTTTCTGCCCTGAAGAAATGAGTCTCAGTTCTTCCTGAAAAACTTCCTGAAAACACAAAGGCCCAGATGTTCTGCTCTAAGGGAAATACAATCTTGACAGAACTGAAGTAAGCACGCCAGACAAAAAAAATTCCATCAAAATAACCTTTCAGATGCATGTGCTGACTTGCAAAGTTGCAACACACTGGGAGCAAAACAGAAGTAACCCTTCTGAAATGCATCAGTGCATCACTTCCCCAACATGTGAGCTCCCCAAGCAGTGCACAGATGATGCAAGCGAGATCTTTCCTGACCGTTCAAGAAATGCAGGGTACGTTATTCCATTGGGCAGCGAGTCTCCTCATCTGAGTCCACCCCTTCTATTCTTCCTTCCTACAAATTCCCTGGGGCCAAAAAGAAAAAAAGAAAAGAAAAAGAAAATCCAAGATAATCCAGAAGAAAGGCTGCCGTATCTGGCTTGCAAAAAAATCAGAAAACTCTTTATTGTCATCTAGGGATTTTTAAAGCCCAGATAAGGCCAGCCTAACTCAGGAGAGAAAAGGCTGCCCCGTGGAGCCCTCGGGGTTCTCTGAGCTTGTCTGTTTTCTTGCAAACGTTTGGTTACCCAGCTAGGTCACATCTTCAGTGCACAGCTCAGAGAACCCCAAGGACTCCACAGTTCAACCCTGAGCTACACATATTCTCCTCTAAAGACTGCCCCATCCTTTGAGTCCCTTGCAATCATAGAGGATTCAAAAGGTGGCTTGTTGTCTAATCCAACTGCCTTTCTGTTAAAGACCCAATATCTCCTTCTGTGACTAGAAATAACTTTCTGGGAATTTCAGGCAGAGAATTTTCTTCTCCATTTTCCCACTCGTTCTTTTAAATCAATGGGGGTTTAACTTGGGGTTACCATGGGATCTTCTGCAGGTATGCGAACCACATATTCTACCCTGGAGCTTTGTTGAGATTTCTCCAGACATTAATCCCCTTTTAAGGGCCTGACAAGTGCCTTATATTCCATAACTTTCCATCCCCCCCCCACCCCCCCATCTACTCTGATTTGTTCCCAACTTTACTAGATTCACTCCTGGAATCAGAGAAGTTGCTGTCAACCACATATGCTGGTGTATGTGAGCAGAGATGGCTTTTTAATTACAATGCATACCATGCAAGACAAGATTGATTGATTGTTTGATTGATTTTCACTTTTTTGGCTTGGGCTTCTGCTCAGTTCATTTATTTATTTGTATATACATCATATAACAAGCATCTCCCTCTCCACTCTGCCCTGAGATTGCATTCTCTTGCATCCTCCTCCCCTTACATTCACACGTCTGGTGGCGGGCGATGGCGTTTCGACTACTCCAAGCCTGGACAGCAGCTGCATGACTTGGCCTTGGCGGCTTGATAGAAACCACAGTGTCAGCGAAGTCTGAAGGCGATGTCAGTGGACACGATTCCAGGAAAGTGTCCACTTTTCTCCTCGAAGAGGGAGCCTTCCTCCTATTGCAAAGCAGGCGAGAATGGGTGCATCTTTGGTGAGAAATGAATCAGAGCAGCAAGGCATGAGCAAGTCACAATGGCTCCTCCTTGGGTTCAGCGAAAATTGGTGACTAATACCCGGGAGACCTTATTGACCCCGTGCAGCTGTTAGTGGTGATACTTCGCTTGTTTGCTTTCTCCTTTTAGCAGAGTGCAAAGGTTGCATTTGAAACAAACTCTCCTGTCTGACTCTCCCGGAGTTTGAATGTTACCTTGAGAGCGAGGCAGCCTTGGACCATGACACCTGTTGTACCCCAGTTGTAAAAGCATATTGGCGTGGCACTCTCACACTGGGTGCTCCAACACAGAGCCTTAATCTGGCCAGCTGATTCATACATCGGATCCTCATGGAGGTGTTAGCAGTGAAGGATCTTCATAAAGGCCTTCCGGAACTCAATGTTGAAGGTGGTGTAAATAATGGGATTGACGGCACTGTTCACGTATCCAAGCCACGTGAAGGCGCTATACATGACTTGTGGGATATTACAGTTGCAGTGCATATTCAGAATGTGGGTGATGAAGAAAGGAAGCCAACAGATGATGAAAACACCTGCAGAAGGACCAAGAAAAGGAGCCACGTTAGCAGGGCAACAATTGAACGCATCTCCCGGTATAGCTCATCTCTACAGAAATCACAGCCCCGAGAGGCAGCAAGACCGCTGGCTTTTGATGGGAATGGGCACATTGGTTGAAAAAATATCCCATGTAGCAACTAGCAAAGAAGTTATTTGTTTTATGTTATAGAATAGGAAGCTCTTCCTCCTCCCTGCCCTAGATTTTTAATTTTCCAGTCTATAAATCCAGTGGAATGCTGAGGCTGCACCTTCCACAGCGGACGTTCAGCCAAATTCTTACCAAGCACAATGGCAAGCATCTGGGTGGCTTTCTTTTCCTTCTGTTGTGAAAATTTCCTTCTGCTCATAGTTTTGAGGGATGTTCTGGTCTTGCCATTGGGCATCGTCTGCGTCTCAAAGAACCTGGCTCTCTTGGAATTGTCTATGGTGTGCCCGTTCTTCTGCATGTCGAGGGGGCTGTTTTCAGGGGACTGTGGAGTTAAATTGGCACAGGGGTTGGAAGCAGCTGGCTCAGCTGGTTCCTTGTCACTTGGCAGAGGTGGCTGAATGTTGTTCTTTGGTGGGCTGGTACTGGTGGCCATCTCCATCTCTTCCATGTGGTCCACTGCCTCCTGCATGATGATCAGATACATTGGGTGGTTTAATAAAACAAATATTTAGACAAGGAAAAGAAAAATGCCTCAATATGTACAGTGGGGAGTGAGAAAATCTTCAAATAATCCACAGAGCTGCAAATCCATTTTACCAAGATTCAAAGTGGCACATGGCTATTAGGAATCTCTGTGGAAATGTGGCAGCAAAACAGTGCCATCTCAATGGGCCTTCTTTGAAAGTGCTTCTGGGAGCATGCCAATCCAGGAGGGTGGCACCAGGTCAAACCCTGCTGGAAGCTCCATCACAGCAACAGCAGTGAGGGTCTGTCCCTTCTGGAATTAAAAAGATTAGTAGCAGAATTGGAAAACTTTTGAACCACTTGGAGATATTTCTGTGGCTTTTCCTCCCTGATTTTTGGGGGACCAAAATAAACAAATTTAGAGAAGTCAGTTTGCTCTGGGCTCAGGCAGAAAAGGAGATTGAACGCAACACAACAGTCTGAGCTTTGGGGTAATATCAGTGTTTCTCAACCTTGGCAACTTTAAGATGCGTGGATT